ATTTCTTATCTGAAAAGATGGATCTGATTCTGCTTGGTTTCATATCTGTTCTGTACCTTATATTTCATGATTCGAGTATTTGCTTACTCCGTTGAGAAACCAGTTATTGCCGTATATTTGATGTGAAAATAAGAGAGAAGTTGAAGTGATGATTAGTTAAAAATGATGTCAGTGGGTGAATGGTGAATTAAAGATAATGTGTTGTGTAAGAATGATTGATTGATATTATTTAATTATAGTAAAATACTGATGATAGTGGGGTTGAGTTAAAATTGAGTTAAAAAAAAATGGTTGAGTTAAATGATTGCATATTTTTGAGATAGTTTTGTATCCAAGCATGATCTAAAGTGTTGGAGCATAATTTGGTTTTGAATCAGTTGTAGAGATGACAAATACTCATTAATCTCCCTTCAAACCTCTCGATCATCGTCGCATAAGGGTAGATTTACTTTGAGGCAGATGGAAGAATATCAGCATAGATTCGGGTCAAGAAGATATTATAGTTGTCAATGGACAAAATGGGGAGTTTCGGTGCCATATATTTGTTCATAGAAATTCGAAGAGCTCCGGGAACTAATATCCTTTGAACTAATAGTGTGCATCACACTGGTTTGAAATTTCTATATTCAGTTAATGAAAATCATCCACAACTCTTTAAACACAGAAAGTACCAATGTTGATGGGGACACGAGCCCTGCTTTATTTTCACTTCGATAAATTTCTAGTGTTGCCTAATTTTTTTGGGCACAAGAGCCAGGGATAGATGTGGTGTAGTGGTTACTCGCGGGGACAATCAGTTCAATACTCGGTCTTTGTTTCCAGTAAATGGGATAAAAAAAACATTAACATCTTATGTTTGGGCTACGGGAATCGATGTTCAACGGGTATATTTGGATTCATATTTTTCCCCTACTCCCATGTTTTACGAATTTGCTCATCAAACTTGTGCCAGTATTCTGACGATTTGGCAGATCTTCGATAATCTATTATGTTATGTGTTGCCCCTTTCTTACTATTTCAAATTCGGAGTACATAATAATAAGATGGTAAGTTACTTGTTCTTTCCTACTTTGTGTTGGATTTTGATGGGTTTCTCTGGTGGCAAAATGAGTCCAAATATGCTCAATTAAGTCGGCATGAAATTGATGATGCATTGTATTATCTCGTATCTCTGAACTTCTAATTATATAATTTTGAAATTCTCGATTTAAACCCTGGACAGGTTGTACAAGCTCTTCATCCTCGTCATTGTGACAATGTATTACTACATCTCCTTCATCTTCAACAATCATATTGTGTAGAATAATGCATGTCAGCATAATAAATTCTAGTTTTCTTCTATACAAAAACCGAGCAGGACCTCTTACAATTGTCCATCGAGATTGAAGCACCCCAAATGATCTTTCCACATCCTTTCGAGCAACTTCTTGTTTTTCTTTAAATACCTTTCTTTTAGGATCTGGCGGACAAGGAAAATACTTTATGAACGTAGCCCATTTTGGATATATTTCATCTGTAAGATAATACCCATTTGCATATTGCGTGTCGTCGACACTAAAATGAACGTTTGGTGCATTTCCTCGCAATTCATTATTAAACAGATGAGATTAATAAATACATTAATATCATTACGTGATCCTGCAACACTAAAAAGGCATGACATATCCACAAATCTTGTGAAGCACACGCTTCAAGAACAATCGTTAGAGACCCATGCCCTCTTGTGAATTGGCATTTCCAAGCAACTGAACAATTTTTCCATTCTCAGTGCATACAATCAATGCTTTCAAGCATACACGAAAAATGATTTCCTTCATGCATCTTGAGGAGTCTTTGAAACATCGCTAGTGTTCGTCTTCTCAAGTATATATCATCAAAAATTTGAACCACACTTTTACAAAATTAAAGACATTTGATAACGGTTGACACACCAATACGTAAAAACTCATCAAGGTGGTCAATTGGACTCCATAAGCCAACTAAGAATAGCTGTTGTGCATTTTTGAAGTGGTGACAAACTTTGTCTTCCTACTACATCAATGTTTTGCTGAAAATATGATGATCGTATCTGAAGTGCATTCACCATTCGAAAAAATAATTCTCTTCGCATACGAAACGTCTATGAAATATATGATTCCCGCAGATTTGGATGCTCAGAGAAATAATCACTTACAAGTCTGTCATGACTAACTTCACGATTTCTCTGAATGAACTTTATTCTTTTTCAAACGTCAATTTCGTGTTAATTTGCTTAAAGTAACTCGTGGCTTCGTTGAACGATTGATGAAATCATTTCAATTTTTAAATCGTTAGTGTCATCACCATATTCAATGTCGGTGGATCAATGATGAATAAAACTCGGATCTACATGAATTTTGAGACATTTATAAAAGATTCTAATTGAATTTAAAGTGTGTAACTATCACTTGCAGAATGAGAAAAAATATGTAAATTTGCTCTTAATGTATATATATATATATATATATATATATATATTGATTCATGCATTTTTATAGACAATTATGCATATAGTAGTCATTATATGGCCCAAACATAGTTTTCTAACACATAATCAAATTGATAAACATGTCACAACACATGCTTTATCTTCTAACATGTTTATTTGTGTCCGAAAATTTGATTAACTTTTCATAACTCATATCTTATCTTTTGGCATATTTATTTTGACCTACAAATTGATTATTATAACCAATTATTGCATATAGTTGTCATTCATGGCATTAACAAATTGATTATAGTTGTCTTCTGACATTATTTTCTGACACACTAATTGAGCTATCAAATTGATAAGCGTGCCGCAACAAATGCCTTCTCTTCTGACAATTTATTTGTGACAAGAAATTTATTAATTTTTCATAGTCCATATCTTATCTTCTGGCATTTATGTTTATTATAGACAATTATTGCATATCGTTGTCATGCATGGCCCATATATTATTTTCTGACACATTAGTTGAGTTATCAAATTAATAAACGTGCAAAACTCACGCATTATCTTCTGACATGTTCATTTGTGCCAGTAAATTAATTAACTTTTATAGCCCATATTTTATATTCTGACATATTTATTTTGACCATCAAATTGATTAGTCATATTATTTAAAAGACAATACATTTTCGAATACAAAGAACAATTTTAGTGAAAGATTGACTACAAATTCAATTTCCTACAAGAACAATTTAAAAAAACGCAGACTAACAATTTAATAGAGGATATGAATGCATTTATTTTTTTAGCAAGAACAATTTAAATGAAATAAAAGCTAACAGTTCAATTTTTCAAATCACAACATACAAGGATAATTATAACAGATAATACAAAGTCTACAAGTTCTATTTATCTCGAACTACTTGACACATTTTATCACGAGAAATATGTTGCTCTTGGGTCATGTGGTTTGTGTCCTTCAGTAAAATCTCATAGTCTTTTCAACGATTTCTCAACTTCGTCTCCTCAAAAGTAAATTTTTTAACTTCAACTTCAGTTTCTTTCTAGCTTGTTAACTCAACAAGATACTTAAGCATGTTGTTGTATTCTGTGGTTATCCCATCAAGATTAGATTTGCCTTTACACTTAGCCTTTTGTTCGATTGGGCAAGTCACTTTATGAAGTTCATCTATGCCAATCCTCGAATCCGCCTTTGATCAAGTATTGCAGGCACCTTACTCATCAATTCTAGTCTTTTTTTTCACCTAACTACAATATTATTAGAAGACTGTGGGGTGTACATATGACGATATTTAAGGATTCTCCACACACCATTACTTTCAATACGAGCCCGACTTAATATATCATCATCACTATCACCACTTCAATAAATACTGTAATAGCACTTATTGAAACGATACACCTTTTTTTTATTCGTATTATGCCAGTCAGATCTTATTTTATTAAAATTTCTATAAATATAAACATAATGTGTATTTTTTCTTATAATAATTTGCAACAATCCTAAAACGCTTCGACCTTCTAATCATTGTCGGTAATTGGTTTGTCACTTATTGTCACGTAAACCTTTGCCAATCACACATCATCTTCCTTTGTCACATAACGATTTTTTCTCAGCCCACAACAGTGACACGTGTGTTTTTTTGGCATTTCAACATTAATGGTTGCCCACGATCCTAAAATTGTGTTTTTTGAACGTAAATTTGAGTATCAGGTTCTTTCCTCATTTGGGATCAAGAAGATTGACTCGATTGTTGCGGAGAATCTTGCACCAAACTTTGACTACTTATATACTGTCAATATTCAAGGGGCGGGGTTTTGAAATAAAACTTGTGGAGGATATTGTGAATATTGAATATCGGTGGAGGTTGGATAATTTTGGGATTGTTCTTATCCATTACAATTTTTCCCACAATTGTATTAAAATTTTCCTTTCATGCAACAACAATCTCAAAATTATCCAACCTCCGCCAATATTTAATATTCACAATATCCTTCATAAGTTTATTTCAAAACTGCCGCCTGAGTTTTGGCAGTATATTAGTCAAAATTTGGTGTCATCTTCACCGCAATTGAGTCAATCTTCCGGATCTCAAATGAGGAAAAAACCTGATACTCAAACATACGTTATGGAAACACAATTTCATAATCGTGAAACAACCATTAATGTTAAAATGCCAAAAAAACACACGTGTCATTGTTGAGGGCCGGAAAAAAATTTCCACATTGGACAAAGGAAGATGATGTGCTATTGGCAAAGACTTACGTGACAATAAGTGACAGATTCAATTACCGGTAATGATCAGAAGACCAAAGCATTTTGGGTACGTGTTGCAAATTATTATAGCGAAAATAAACATACTGATTATATTTATAGAGATTTGAATATAATAAGATCTTCACTGGCATAATACAATTCGAAAAAGGTGAATCGATTCAATGAGTGCTATAACAGTATTTACAGTGTTTATCGAAGTGGTTGTAGTGAGAGGATATATTTAGTCGGACTTACGAAAAATATCGTAGTGAGAGTAATGGTGTAGCCTTCAATCTTGAGCATGTATGGAGAACCCTTACAAATCGTCATACGTACACTCCACAATTTTCTATTGATATTTTGTTGAAAGAAAAAAGACAAGAATTGATGAATCTGGTGCCAGCAATACTACATCAAAGGGGGATGTGAGCATTGACATAGATGAACTTCATGAAGTAACTCGCCCAATCGAACAGTAGAAGCTAACGAAAGGCCAAGGACAAATGCAAATCTAATTTTGATGAGATGACCACGGAATACAACAACATGGTTAACCATCTTGTTAAGTTAACAAGTTTGAAAAAAACAGAGGTTGAAGTTGAAAAAGCTACTCTTGAGGAGAAGAGAAGAAACAGAGAAATCTTCGAAAAGTCTATGAAATTTTACTGAAGCACACAAGCCACATGACCCTAGAGCAACATATTTTTCATGATAAAATGTGTCAAGTAATTCGAGAGAAGTGGAACTTGTAAACTACGTATTATCTGTTTTATTTATCCATGTATTTCTGTATGTTTTGATTTGCGAAATTAAACTGTTAACTTGTATTTCATTTAAGTTGTTTTTTTTTTCCACAAAAAAAAATACTTTCATATCCTCTATCAAATTGTTAGTTTGTCTTTGTTCTTGTTCAAAATTAAATTTGTAGTTTGTCTTTCACTAAAATTGTTTTTTGTATTCGAGAGATACATTGTCTTTCAAACAATATGACTAATCAATTTGCTAATCAAAATAAATATCTCAAAGATAATATAGGTCATGAAAAGTTAATACATTTGTTGGCACAAATAAATATGTTAGAAGATAAGGCATTGTGTGGCACGGTTATCAATTTGATAACACAATTAGTGTGTCAGAAGATAATGTGCGGGTCATGCATGACAACTATATGCAATAATTGTGTATACTAATCAATTTGCTGGTCAAAATAAATATATCAAAGATAAGATATAGGCTATGAAAAGTTAATCAATTTGCTGGCACAAATAAACATGTTAGAAGATAAGGCATGGGTTGTGACACGCTTATCAATTTGATAACTCAAATAATGTAACAGAAACAATGTATGGGTCATAACGACAACTATATGCAATAATTGTCAGAAGATCACATGTGCTATGAAAAGTTAAACAATTTGTTGGCACAGATAAACATTTCAGAAGATAAAGCACGGGTTGTGGCATCCGTTATCAATTGGATAACTCAATTAATGTGTCAAGAAAATAATATATGGGCTATGAGTGACACCTATATGCAATAATTGTCTATAATAATGCATGGGTCAATATACATATTCAAAACAAACTTACATATTTTTTCTCATTCTACAAATCATGCCCCACACTTAAATTCAATTAGAATCCTTGAAATTTGACTACGGTTTTTCTCATTCTGCAAATCATAGTTATACATATACGTAGACGTATAGACCAAATTTGACTACAGTTTATTTGTTTGAGTGTTTAGATGATCCTATAACTAACCGGAAAGATTATGAAGACGATTTGAAATAATATTAAATTGATTATAGTGAATAAGCATTAAACAAGGCATGGCCTGACTTTACCACAAGTAATTATATGGAGAAAAAACAATTTTCCAGAAAAGTGAGAACCTTAGTCAAATCTGTCGATTAGATTGCAGCAAGGCACATTACCCAAATATGATCCGATATCAATGTATTTGTGAATCCATAAGCCAGGGTGAACTTGAATACATTGCAAGAAGACACTATAAAAGCATAGATATAGAATTAGGTAGCATCATGGTTATAATATCTACCAAGTACGTACCAAGTTAATACCAAAAATATATAAGATTTGACATTTCTTACAATTGAAGAACTCATTGGTTCTTATTGGCGTCAATCCGGCTTCTTTAAGTTGAAGCAGTTATCTGTTGCTTGGCTGAACAAATCCTGAACCTGCCTAAGCTCCTTTTCTGCCACAACAAAGTTTTATTAGTTTAGTTTGAGATCAGAGCTGTGAAAATGGGCCACAGCCCATTTTAGAAAACGCGTCAAAGCTGTGAAAATGGGCCAAGCCCACAATGAAAATAGCTTCTGTTACATATTACCACCACCAGGAAAACACAAAACAAGCACTATGCTCCATGTTAACAAATTGTTATTCATCAGTTAATTGGTTAAATGAATTGTCTGACTTGCAAACAACCACTAAATATATGCATAACTTTTATTTTTGGAAATAATGCCTATTCTAATGCCCGTGATTTTGCTTGCATTTTGCCACACTTAGCTTGGTCCTAGCCAAGTGTCTCGCATATGGGTCTTATAAAGGCTAAGTTTTTCTTTAAGAGTATTCTAGAAAGTTTCGGATTATAACCGGTTGTTGTAGTAGAGATTTGTATAGCATAGATGCATCAAAAACAGCCTAGAGTTTTATAAATTGGGCCAAATGGCGATCCAAGGCAATTTAACCATGGAATGACCACAAGGTGAGAGGCAAGACCATGGTGAGGCATCGGGAACATAAGACACCAAAAGCGTAAAAACCAATAATATTGAAACATATCGACTTCAAATGGAAAAAACATCCTCAAATATTCTAAGAAATATAAAATGAGAAACAGAAACACAATAAAATTAGAATAATTTACATAACATTAGATATATAAAATAAACTAAAATAAATGGAAAGGCAAAGAACATAAAATAGAAACTACAAATTAAAATTAAAATAGAAAATAGAACCAGACTAAACTAAAAGGCAAAAATTAGAAAAAAAACGATACAGAAAATTTAAATTAAAACTAAAAAAAAAAGAAACAGAAAGAAAATAATAACACAAACTAAAAAAAATAAAAAGGGAAACATAAAAAAGAAAATAAAAACAAAAAATGATCATGGTAAACAGAATGCAGGTAAAAACTAGAAAATAAAGGAAAACAAAAAACAGAACGCAACTACGTCTGTGGGGGGTTAGCGGCCAGCTAGGCTCCTGGAAATCCTATCACCATCTAGCTTAGAAGAAACTCAGGATATTCTAGAAAATTCTATTTGAGGTTTTAGGATTCTAGAGTTTTCCACGTGGGAAGGGAACCACTATAATAGGAGGGTCCCTCATCTTGCCAAGATATCCAATCCAAGCAAAGCTAAAATCCCTTGTAAGACAAGTTCGAGTGAAGTGATGTACAAGCCTTCCAGACAACTCTCTTGAGCTTTACTTTTAATTTTCATTAACCTATCACTTAACACACACCAAGCACAAAGGGTAAACCGCACTTTACTTAGTATTCGGGGGACAAAATGAGCGACATCACACTCATAAACTAATCCACAATTACAATGAGTATGTGTGATTTTGGTTATAATAGCAGTATCGGGACCAGCCAATAGCTATGATATCTATTTGAAGAAAGTCGAACAATTTACCTGCAGCTTCAAGTTGCTTCTGAAGTTCTTGTCCAATTGTGTCATTTTCAGCCTGCAAAAAACCTTCTTTTTCGTTAGTAAGGCATGACAATGGAAATTACCAATACAAAAGTAAGTTCAGACATGATATTCGACCTGGAGTTCTGCAATTCTTTTCAACTGAGCCTCTTCGCCTCCCTCCGATAGTGGAAGTGCCGCAACTAAGGCATCAAACTGCAAAAGGCATTTTTAGCCAAACAGTATCCTAGCCGACTACCAAAGAAAAATCTTGTAGCTGCCCACGTTGATCCTAATTGTTTTATTGTTGAAAAGGATAATTGTGAAATTGGGCATGCGAAGAACTTGGAAATCATCAAGATGGGACTTTTCTCACGACTAATGTGCTCTTTTGTCTAACCTGATTATTGAATGTAGCAACTACAATTTTTGTTTGGACATTATCCATTCAACAACATATCAGATCTTTAAAATCGTTACGCTTTCTGCTGCAAATATGAAAGTGCAATCCAACTATAAGGAAAACCAGCTCAAGCTAACTAATCCATCTTTTTCCTAATTAGATGAAACGATCACCATACCCATGATTGGGAATCGAATTAACAATTCTAATTAGAATTCTACCTCAATTATGATTCGTAAAAAAATTCAGAAAAAAAGTCAATAAATCAAAATTGAACCTGCTTGGCAGCTTTCACCAATTCGGAACTGAGGATCTTGGGCTGCTCCGCGAGATTGGTTGACTCCTCGGCTCCATTGCCGTTGGAATTTGCAGGCGGAGGCTCCGGATAATTTGGGGATAACTGAACCGGAGGCGCGTCTCTTTGAAGTGTTCCGAAGGTGTTGAACGCGAGAGCTGCTATTGTGTTCACTTGCTCCTGCAATTGAGATATTATGTCCATCCTGCACTTTCAGCTGGATTTCGGAACCCTAGACGGCGGAGGCGACGGCAAAAGACGGTGAAAGGAAAAGGGAGAATGGGACTTAGAGCATCTCCAATGGTATCTTGTCTATTTTAAGTTGCAAAGAAAGAGATTAAAACATTGTGTCTCCAATAGTAACACAATGGTTAAGGTTGGTAACACAATGGTTAAGGTTAAAGATAGTTTAATCTGACATGTATAATTTTATAATTGGTTGAAAAAAAAAAGAAAAAACTTGAATAAATAATATAATATATAATAGAAGTTGTCAGAAGTACTTCTAGATTTAGAAAGACTTCTAGAATTGTTTTAGGCCACGTAGGATTTTTTGTGCCACGTGGCAACAAAAACGGGGCAATCCAAAAGCCATTGGAGATGCTCTTAGAGCACCCACAATGTTTTGAGTCTAATTTTACATATGTGACATATAAATAGACTTAAGTCCTAAATGACATGGACAAACCCAAGTAGAAAAACTCAAAAGTTATTCAATGCAAAAATAAAATACTAGGTCTAGCATACATGACAACCAATAAAAATGCTCTAATATATTTCATTTATTAAAAAAAATTAAATGATGAATAAATGATGAGTGTTTGGGTTTGTACTTGGGTCTAAAATAGACTCAAGTGTGGACTAGGTCTCTTTTTTTTTATTGCCACATAAGCTAGACTAGGTTCACTTTTACTTGCATTGGAAAACACTTTTTTATAGACTAGGTCTATTTCTTACATGACATGTAATTTTTTCTAGGAAATCCCAAAACATTGTGGGTGCTCTTATAAAGGTGGGAGGGCCATCGGCAAAATCGTATATAAAATTTATTGTATAAATATTATAATTTATAATAAATGCTTATTTAAATTTTTAATATTTATAATAAGGTATTTATTATTTTAAGAGATTAATAATACTACCTCCTGTTCATTATAATTGTCGTTTTGACTTTTGTGATTCATCCATTTTGTTATGATCTAGACATTAAAATGTCTAGATCATAACAAAATGGATGAATCAAAAAAGTCAAAACGACATTTATAATGAATAGGAAGGAGTATTTGTTTGTTTAATGTATGAAAACAAAAATCTATGTAATTGTTGTTAAGGGGGCCAAGGTTATGTTCTGATCCACAATTTTTATTTCACAAAGAGAATAAGTTATAGATAAGGAAAGAATAATTAAAAGTATAATATATGATATGATGAAAATTTAATTATTAAATTTGAGATGTTGCAAACCCTGTATATGTACAAATATTGAATTAATTTTAGAAGACTACATTTTTATTAAAAGTTCAACGAGTAATAATTTTATTACATATGTATATATACTGTATACATCATAAGTTGAGATATTATATATTGTAATCATTTAAATTTTATTTTATTTTATTTTTTACTTTTCTTAATTCATATTATTTTTAATTATTTTATTACAATAGGCAAACATGCTCCTGTTGTGTCTCATCTTTTCTTTGCAAATTATTCAATCTTCTTTTGTAAAGCTAATATTATGCATGCAAACCTCATAAATATTCTATACCAATAAGGTAATAATTCAGGTCAGCTAGTTAAGTCTGATAAATTATCCATTCTCCTATCTAAGAACACACCTGTGAGTGAGTGTGCAGAATAAAATCATGAGTTGAAAAATATATTTTTTTAAGCGAGGGAGGTGGAGAGATCTTCATAACCGTTGTTCTTAATGCTATGTCCACCTATGTGATGTCTTGTTTTGGACTTCGAGTGTCCATTGTTAACAATATCTATAGGGACTTTGGGTAGTTTTTGGTGGGGGCAAAAAAAAAAAACGGGAGAGAGAAGATTCACTGGGCATCTTGTCGTAAGCTAGCTTGGTCTAAGGAAACTAGGGGGATGTGTTTTAAAGATCTGAGTAGTTTCAGTGAGACCCTTTTAGTCAAACAGTTGTGGAGGCTGATAACAAAACCCAACCTCCTAGTTAGTACGGTGATGAAAGGTAGATATTTTTATAATCAAAACTTGATGGAGGTAACACCCAAAGTAGCAGATTCTTGTTAGTGGAAGAGTTGGCTTAGTGTATAAGGCTATTGTGGCAGCCTCAGTTGCATAATCTTCTCAAGCAAGCTCCAGTCGAAGTGCTGAAATTATCGAGAGAATGTAGAGGAATACTTAGAAAATACCCATCAAAAGACAACTGAAGACTTTCTTGTAGAGGTGCTGGTATAACTTTGTTAGCTCAAAGGGTCAACTGATTAGGAAAGGGATTGATACATGTGATGTTTGTCAAATGTGTGTAGAAGAAAAGGAAGACATAATTCACATCCTATTCAAAGCTCAAGAGCAAAAATATGTTGGAAACTTAGTTGGATCTCTTGGCCGCTGCTTGAAAAGGAGAACATGAACTTTCATAGTTGGTGATTAGTAGAGATATGTACTTCAGGAATATATAACTGTATGGAAGAAAGGATTCATTTGTCTATCTATGTGATATGGGGGATTTGGAAAGCCAGAAACGAATGATTTTTCGAATGTGACTGGATCCACGAAAAGGATGTGCTTGACGAAGCAAAGAGCGAATGGCTGGAGTGGATATCTCTGAAAGAGAATTGTGGCACTGATGAGGTTGGCTTTTAGAAAGATACTGCTTCCCTGACCGATAATTTTTCAAAAAGGGTAGGACAACCTGCTTTGGTTGTCGATGCTCTGATATCGGTAGAAGGAGTAATATCATTGCATTGTTTGGTCGAAGATCCCGAAAGGAATATGCTCAGTTGGTGCTTTAGCCTTTGACGTAGGTGCCCTCTCCCGTGCTTGCTTTGTTCTAGTTGCTTTAACTAGGTCATCAGCATCTTTGATCATTTGATTGTTTGTACTTCTTTGTTAAATATAATATAAGTTGTTGGTTTGATGTTGGAAAAGAAAATAATAATAATAATATTAAAATACATTTTGGGGTCATAAAACTTTTCTAGCCTTATTATAAACATGAAAAGGTAAAAATTGGAAATAAAAAATAACGAAAAAAAAAAAGAAGAAGAAAAAGGGAAAAAAAAAAAAGACAAATTATTTCCCAATCTCATCAGAACATATCCTACAATGACAACAAAACCTTGGTTGGATTGTTCGCAGGAAGAATCCCTTGACATATATATAACCTCACAATCATCAGCCCGCATGATGATCCATCCTTGTCTTCATTGGTGACACAAATTGTTCTCTTCTTCTTGGATCGTTTTTATCATTGCTTATTTTCAGAAAACTCCCCATGATGTTGACGATGATGTTCCGTGTCACTTAGAACAAAATCCATATCAGTAATGCAGCCAACAGACGAGTTTGGCCGCATGTTGATTGTGGACTGTGGAGTAGCAAGCTCCAGCATGTAAGGCCCAGAATGCGAACTTGCAGCCTCATTGCTCGTCTCCTGTCTGGCCCCAGTGTTCATTTGGGTTAGGTTCTTACCGACCATAAAATCCAAAGGCTCGCCATTAAACTCTGGAGGCAGAAAGAGCGGATTCCCAGACACAAGCGCATGGTGGTAGCCAAGATTGGGGCTTTTCATCAAATAATTCGTTTGCAGACGGGCTTCTACATTCTTTTCGTGAACTGGGGAGGACGAAAGGTCCAACTTCAGATTTGGGCTATTCGGGACGTGTTCAGAAAAATCAGTACTATGATGTTCGGGCCCTAAACGCACAGGCTCCCTGGAATCGGGCCGAGACTGATCAGCAAAAAGATTGTGATGAAAAGTAACGTTCGGGCCACTCGAGCCATCGTAATACATATTGTCTGGCTGCAGATCAGCTTTCACTTCCCGAGGCTGAGTTTCAACCAACTGTCTTGTAGGACGAAAATCGAACATGGGTCCCTGCATACAGTTTGTGAAACTGACAGGTGGCGGCTGCTGATTGGTCCCACCCCTTGGAGTTCCCGGTGCCGTAGCTTGGCCTCCTAATTGGGAGAACGAGCTGGCCCGAGACATCATGGTGTTGGATGACATGAAAGCCGTTTGGTTCCCAAAAGACTGTAAATTCGGCCGAAAAACCATCTGTTTTGAAGGAGGGAAGCAAGGATTATTATAAGGCTGGGGACTGAACCCAGGGCCATCGGGAAGTGGGCCCGCCGAAATCTTTTGTCTCTGGTACATCTGAGCATGTGGGGCCACATCGTTCAGGGGCGTTATGGGCACAAACTTCCTGGGCTGGAAGACTACCCCGCGGAAAGGGGCCCCACCATTACCGATTTTGACGGATATGAGGTAACCAGCATCGAACGAGCCCTCGATCACGCCGTAAATCAAGCTCCCGATCATAGGGTTTGGGATGGCTTCTTGGGTGTTGTAACAGAGGCTAGAATTAGGGGTCGGGTGGGCTGTAGATGCCTTTCCGGGGGAGTAATGATGTAAGCTGCCGTCTCGGGGGAGGTTTGAGTCCTTGCGCGGGCGGCCCCTCCTGCGCTTAGCCGGGAGGGAGATAGAAACGTCTGTCATGGTGCAGCTTTTCTTATGTTTCGTCTGCAATACACTATCCAATCATTCTTAGTGTAAAGAGGTGGTCCCATCAGCACATATATAAACTCAAAATCAATCAATATGACACATTCCCAACAGACTTGAGTTTCAGGCTTTCAGCCACTTAAATAATGCACTCGGCTAAGTGACAATCATTTTGTATCATTATTGTACAATTATATTATCAAATCAACTTTGGTATACTTCTATTTAATCAGTCAAAATCTGAAAAATTCTTCCTCCAATTTTTTTACTTGGCTAGTAGGGGAGAAAAGGGAAAAGAAAACTCCCGATGTTAACTTGTGTTTCAGAATCTGAAAAAATAATTCAAAAGCAGGAAGAGATGATTTAGTTGAACTTTTACAACAATGCGTATAAAACATTTAGTTACGCTTTTGTTTCTATTTTGGTACATGCTGTTTTAAAACTGTTTAAGTTTTATTCAACCACCAGCAATTCAAGTAAAATGAATTCTTAAATGCTGAAGATTAAGGATCAAGGAGAATCACAATTAAGTGAAAACAAAAGATGAAACCAAGTCCACTTTACCGTCAAGTTTGCATGCCGGAGATAGTATCCATCGACAACTCCTGCTTAATGTGACGCTCAAAACAGCAACTTACAAAAATGAAAGCAACCACAAACAAGCTTTTCCATTTCCCAACTTGGCTGCAGATAACAAAAAATGGAGGCTTCTGAAAAGCGATCTCAAGAGCACTACAAAATTCTGTACACTCGATTGGTTTCATTAAAAGCTCTTAAGGCATGAATCATAAAGCCGAATATAGTTTGTTAAACAACTAAGTTAATCATGGAATTAGAAGCAATCTTGATGATAATGCTGTACTGCAATTCTATAAGTAAATGAGATAGAACATTAGAAAGTCATGCATCATTTACAATATATAGTGCGCATTTATCCAATCTTGCTCCACATAGTTATAATATAGCATTCAATTGAAGGAATAAATTGTCGAAAGACACTCAACAACTTGCCAGTTTAGTTTTATAATTTATTCCCAAAAATTTAAATCAAAATATTCTTCATGGCATGAGCATACTCCGTATTACTCCCAAATATCAGTAACAGGAATCAACGAGATGTTGGAACATGGAATAAGATATAACAAACAACATTTTATCTCGACATAAAAGAAGTAGATAAAACTCACCTCAATGAATGAAGGATGGGATTCCTGCTTGATTCTTCCGAAGCCTCGAGAAAAAAGGTCCAACTGTTCCACATCCAGAAAATTAAAGAAGCCCATCAACCTTAACATATGCATTTGAACATACTCGTAAAGTAATTCTTCAATGAGTGAGAGTCTAACCGCTATGCAGGTAGACCCGTCATACTAATTGAACACAAATGCATACTTATACTATCAAATATCAAATATCGTACACTTCTGTCTATTTCGTTTCTTGAAGTATGACATCTAATGAAAGTACGCACCAAATCCAAAAGACCACAGAGACAATAAAGTAACGCTCTACAAATCTGCATCAAAGCCATTGCAGCCTCAAACAAACAAACAACATTAACATCCATTTTGTCTGTCTGAGCTAATTGGCAAATTCCATGAACCAAAAAAAACAAACCACTTACCTCTGTAAGGCTTCGAAACAGATCTGAAATCTCAAATTTGCACCACCATTTGGCTTCAGATTTGTTGTTTTTCCTTTTTTTTTTCTTTATAAAGAAAATGTTCTTTCTTTATGGGCCAAAAAAAGAAAGATACAGTAAAATGTGTTCCTCCTTTATGGGTTTCGTCTCCCAAAACATGAATTCAGACCTAATTTCTCACTCTTCAAGATCAAGAGACAGTAAATGAACAAGGAGGAAGCAAACCAAAGGGAAGAATCGATTCGTGCTGAGATTATGAATAAATCTGAAATTAAAAAAATACAAAATATTTCTACGGCAACGATAAATTGGGAAAAAACAGGGGAATGATACATTTTGGTACCAATCGACTCGAAGCTCGACCGCAAATTGCTCTTTGTGCCCCAACCAGAACTCCATTGCTTATTTTTAGCAACTGAGGAGAATTTTCGCTTCCGGTTTGCTGGCCGTGGCCCGCGGGGCAACAACTGGTGGGCCGACGAAGAGTGGTTTTCTCTGAGCCCATCATCTTCACCACCATGCTCCATTCCAAGCTTTTCCCAAATTCACATTTCGCACCATATATTAGGGTAAAACAAGTGGTTTTGCCCCCAAATTATGGTCGTTTTGCGGTCATAACTCATACTAACAATTACGGTTTTGCTGTGGAGACAACGGTTGGCTTCATAATGGAGCCAACTTTCTATGTACAACAAATAAACCTATCATATTATCTGATTACTTAAATAACATGAATATATTATCTGATTACTTAAATAACACGAATATAATTTTGTTAATATGGTAGATTTATTTGTTGTATATAGAAGGTTGGCTCCACTAAGAAACCAATTATTGGCTTCATAGCAAAACCGCTAACCATTACGCAAATTTTTGTATCATACATGGTCATGTGTGTTTGTACGTAAGAAAAAACTCCGAATCTATATACACATCTTAGGTTACGAACCATTTCGTCGGGTTTGTAACCGTCATGGATTAGATCAACTATCCACGACGGTTATATGATGATCTAACGGTTATAAATCTCGACGCAATGGTTCAATAACGGGATTGTAGCATCTCCCCACATCTTATACTCAAAATCTTACTATTCTATCAACTCACATAATTTTAACTATCACTTCACATCATTTATTTTCTACTCTTATATCAAAACAACTTTAATTATTATATTACAAATATTATTTTAATATAAAATCAAAATCACACTAACAACTGACCATATCACTTTTTTTCAAAATTAACTCTGATTAACCAAAAAATATTTATTTTGAGCGGATTTATTTGTGTACACGACCTAAGCAAAGCAGGTCTACTTGTCGTGTATTTGTAATAAATAAAAACGTATGTATATTGTGAAATGTTATGTATTAATGGGTTAATTGCCTAAAATCTTCACATTTTATATTCTTGCAAATAAAACTCAATTTTTTATCTTTGCAAATAAATATCAACCTTTATTATGGGTTGTAAATTTGTCTCAAAATCAATTTTCGTCAATTCTCGCTGACGTGTCCGACCAAAAATCTTGCGTGACACTGATGAGACTTGTGTGTGACACCCAACCTTTTATAATATCAACTAACTTTATCGCACCTTTATTATATCATCTAGCATTTCAGTCACCAGCCATAAGTTATCCACAAAAGAATTTATTTCAACTGACCTGTCAACTAATTTTATCACACTTTAGTTATACCAGTTAGCTTTTCAGTCACCAGCCATAAGCTATCAACAATAAGAGCGAAATTCATTTTATAAGTTATTAACAAAATTTTATTTCGACCGGCGTATCAACTAATTTTATCACACTTTTGTTATATCGGATAATTTTTCAGTCACTAGTCATAAACCATCAACCGGATGTGAAAAATTCATTTATAAGTTATTAACTAATTTATCAACTATCATTTGATTTTTAAGCGAGGTTTATCATCTGATTTTTAAGATAAGTTTACCAAATAAGAAAAGTTTTTGCAAATTGCAACCACCCCCCTCAACTATTCAAGTTGCGGTTGCGCCCCTCAAAATACTATTGAAACCATCTTACTCCACGCGAGCTACATTTGTCCTACATTTTCTTTTAGAAATTATAAAAAATAGTTACCTCTTTTTCTAACCAAAAACAACCGGCTGCTCTATCTGCAGTAAAAATATTTTAGTTTGTCAATCGTAGTTGACTTTGCTAATGAAGCATGGCTTCCACTGTCATTTGTCTTTTGCCCCCACATTGATAATTAATAATATAATAATAACAATGATTAATGGTAAGTATTAAAATATTAACTTGTAAGTTATCTCATCGTTTATATAGAAAAAATTGGATTAATTTATAAGTTTAGTGAGTTATTCTTTCTTCCACCAATTGGTTTTGGAATGGAACCTTATTTGGGCTCATATGGGTTTTCCCTGCTTATGACGCGCTACATCTGTGTGGTACCGCAACCGTTTTCCCCTCGTTTCTCTCATGGTATCAGAACTGGATTTATTGAGACCGTGTGATGACGTACCCGTTTTCTAGCCCATTGGACTTGGGCACAAGGCTCTGTATATGGACTTGAACTTCTTATGAAAGACTCACAAATCACAAGTGAGGGGGACGTATTAAAATATTCACTTATGAGTTGTTCCACATCGTTTATATAAGAAAAATTGACTTAATTTATAAGTCTAGTGGGCTACTTTTTCTTTCCATCAATTGAGTTTGGAATGGAACTTCACTTTGGTTTCATTTTTGTTTTCTCTACTTATGGTGCAATTTGTCTGCGTGGGATGATTTTGCAACAAAATAACAAAAAATAAAATAGCAATTTAAAGTTGAATTAATATTTATGAAAAATGGAAACTGCTTGTTTATTCTTGCCATTAATAAAGCTAATAACAAGAATATTTTCCTTTTTAGAAAAATTTCCGGTTCTTGCTGATGGGTTGACTTTTGAGTTATACACAAAAGCTGCTACGATAGTGCGTTGACTTCAGGGGTACAGCCATCGTCACAAGTCACAAAATTCAGTTCTAAACAAATCATTTACAAGTGATAATGCATAGGAAAATGACGGTGGTGAATTCAAAATGGACTTTTGTTTGTTATTTTAATTCAATCATATGCATATACGTTCACAAGATAATGCCTCCTTTTTTGCCCAAGTGTTTAGATATAGCAGCCAAAATGCCAATTGCTTAGTCACAAGTCACAACATAATAATTGTGTTTTCTAATACTAAAATCAATAATGACTAGGGAAAGTAGAGATAATTATATATTGTATTCGCAATTGATTGATTAATTAATTGTTTTCTCAAATTGATTTTATTCGAATACTACTGTGAAATCCTAAGAGCATTCACAATAGTTTGGGTTAACAATAGAATAACTATATGTCACTTAGATAAAAGACTCAATCTAAAAAAAAAATATATTAAGTGCAAGTAGATTGGGTTCTGTTGATGTGGCAGCAAGAAAATAGACTCGGTCTACACTTAAGACTATTTTAGACACAAGTAGAGATTTAATCTCTTGCATTGGAGTGAATTTTGTTGATTTTATATATTTTTTTTTTATCCGTGTCATTCAAGACTTCGGTTTATTTACATGTCACATAGACAAAACGAGACTTACTTTGCAGATGCTCTAAGGTAATAGATAAGGTGTATTTATTTATTATTTTCAAGATCTTAGAAATTCTAATTTAATTTAAATTTTTAAGATTTTTAAAAGCATTGATGTAGTTGATTGAGGTTTTAAAATATATTAAAAATCATGAGATATTGGTGCACATGACTTGGAACGTTCGAATTAGACATGTGCATCGAGAAGCCGACTTTGCAGCGGACCATATAGCGACATTAGCAGTTGATTCCCCGTCAGGATTGAAACGTATCTCGTCAACCCCCAAGGAGTGGACTCATGGCTTGGCCACGGCGTCAGTGGGGTTGCTTACCCACGCCACACTTTAGCCAATGACGGACTTACATGAGGCCCGGGCCCCCCTCAATTTGTTTAAAAAAGCATTATATATATATATATATATATATGCAAATAAAAAAAATAATATAAAAAATGAATAAAAATGTAAAAAAATATGTAAAATATATAAATAAATAAAACTTAATCTCAATGCTATTTAATTTAAAATAATAATATTATTTATTTATTGAAAAGTATACTAATAATCATTAAATTTTACATTTCTGGATAATTTTTTTAAAATATTTTAGTAATGTACTCTTTCGCCCTTTTAATTGTATGTCAATTTAATGATCATAAAACCTATAATACAGTTGGATTGTTAGATTTTTGAATGTTTTACCGATTGTATATTTGAATGATGATTTTTTTAGTTTTTACTTTATTTTTTTATGTAATCACATATTTTCAACTTTATTTATTTTTTATTTAAAAAATATCATTTGATAAGCTCGCATCAACAAAAATGTTATGAAGTGTGTTTAATTTAAATCAAATTTTGAACAAAAAACTTATTTTTCGTAAATTATAGATCTTAAACTTAATTATAAATGCACGAAATTTCATTTTTTTCTTAAAAAAAGTTTGAGGGTGATACGGATTCTAAGTTTATAGTAATATCTATATTTATAAGTAAACACAACTTTATATTGAAATGAGCTTTTCTATGTAAATTATAAACTCGCTATTTAACATTTAAAATCGGGCCCCCCTGAGTGAAAATTTTAGCTCCGTCACTGACTCTAGCATCGTAGTTTTCGGGTCTTTGGCCGCGTCTATGTACCCAAAAAAAAATAAAAAATTAAGATTCTAGCAAATTATATATGTTAAATCTCACCACTAAATCTCACCTTTAAACTTATTAAATGTTTTGAAGATTTCACTAAAAACAAATCTCAGTAAGTTCTTGATTTAAACAAATCTAAATAAGTCTTGATTTAAACAAACCTCAATATCTTTTGATCATCATAATTTGAAAACTCTAAAATTAAGTTCTAACTACATATATTTGATATCAATATCATTATGTTCTCCTTTCATGCACTACCATCTGATCTCTCTTTGCTTAAAAAAAAATAAAAAAAAAAATAAAAATAAATAAATAAATAAATATCATCATGTTCTCCACACAAAAGCAATAGGAAATTCATATATATCTGACCAACATTTTCTATGTCCCATGGCCAACTAATTTCCCAATTCAAATCCAATCCCATTATTTTTTATTTCAT